TCACTTTCCCTTGTTTCTTTCCTTTGTTTTCAGTCTCTATAGCTATAATATACTATAGTCTGTCTCCTAGGAACATTTACTCTATATTGAAAAGTGTCTGAGTGAGGTAACCCAGACCGAGAAAGACAAATATATGTACTCACTCACAAGTGGCTTTAGACATAAAGCAAAGAAAAACCAGCTTACAATTCACAATCCCAGAGAACCTAGACAACAATGAGGACCCTAAGAGAGACATACATGGATCTAAACTACATGGGAAATAGAAAAAGACAAGATCTCCTGAGTAAATTGGGAGCATGGGGACCATGGGAGAGGGTTGAAGGGGGGAAGAAAGTAAGGGAGGAGAATGGAGAAAAATATATAGCTCAATAAAAGCAATTTTTAAAAAAGTGCCTAACTCTAAAACAAAAAGTATATTCAACTGAAAATCTTTAAATTGTTGTAGTTTTATTTTTGGCAACACTGGGTGCGAAGCTGAACTCTCTTCCTCAGGGAAGGAAGCTATTCTACTGCAAAAAGGACACACAGACATTTAGGTGGTCAGATGGACAGGTTGTACTACCAATTTCCTCCATCCCTAATCCCCTGGGTCCATCTCTCTCTTCCTTCTTCCTTCAGTTTTTCCTCACCTTCAGTCTTGTACTGGGAATTTTGTCTAGGATCTCTTAGGTGGTAGGCAGGTGCTCCACCACTGAGGTATAAAGTATAGCCCCAGTTCTCTGTTTATTTTCTATTTTCAGACAGGCCATACTAAGTTCTCTAGCCATACCTTAAGAGAGGCCTGTGCCAACAGACCTGACCCACCCTTTTGTAGGCCTAAGTTCCCTGAAAAATGTTATGCCGAAATCTGCTGGGTCCCCACAAAAGCCAACAAAGGAGACTGAGATCCATATGTAAAAGCAACGTGCCTTATTTTAATCAAGTTTGCAAACTCGGTCTCTCCGCATGTCCAACGTATTGGAATAAACGGAAAGCCCAATTAGAATAGGGTTTTTTATAGTAGTAGAGGTAGGGTGAGGGGTTTCTGAGGTTTAGGGCTCCTGATTGGCTGACATTTGTCTAGGAGTATCCTGTTGAGGTGCGCTGGCATGTGTCTCTATCTACAGGCATTTGCTTTGAATGGTCTGCTCTTGGGTGAAAGTCGGGCAATCTCGGCCTGCCAGGCATTGTCTCAGGGTAAACTATTGATACTCCAGACTCCATTTAAATTCATCCATGGCCAGAGTCCCAGGTAATAATGGTTGGAAGTAAAGAACTTCCTTTGGGTAACCTGCCCAGACTTAGCTTATCATGGCTGGCCCCCACAAAAAAATACCTTATTGGAAAGTAAGTTTCCAGTCTCAGTGATGCTAGCCATTCTTGCCAAAAGAACAGGATCGCAATGGTGTGGATACCCTTGACTTATTTTGTTCCCTTGTTCTGTACCCTTCCCAATTGAGAGAATATGCCACTGATAACACACCAGAATGGTAAAACACTTTGAGTTTATTATTTGTTGTGAGTAAATCTGTAAGAAATTGCAATCCTAGCTCTGTGAGTTCAAGGCCAGCTTGGTCTACAGAGGGACTTCCAGGACAAAGAAACTCTGTCTTAAAAAAAGTGGGGGGGGGCCTCTTTCCTTTCTGCCACCGCCATGCCATCCAGACTGAGGAAGACCCGGAAACTCCGGGGCCACGTGAGCCACGGCCATGGCCGCATCGGTAAACATCGCAAGCATCCAGGAGGACGCGGGAACGCTGGAGGCATGCATCATCATAGGATCAATTTCGACAAATATCATCCAGGTTACTTCGGGAAAGTTGGTATGAGGCATTACCACTTAAAGAGGAACCAGAGCTTCTGCCCGACTGTCAACCTGGATAAACTGTGGACGCTGGTCAGTGAGCAGACCCGGGTTAACGCAGCCAAGAACAAGACTGGAGTTGCTCCCATCATTGACGTCGTGCGATCGGGCTACTACAAAGTTCTGGGCAAGGGAAAGCTCCCTAAGCAGCCTGTCATCGTGAAAGCCAAATTTTTCAGCAGAAGAGCTGAAGAGAAGATAAAGGGTGTTGGAGGTGCCTGTGTTCTGGTGGCTTGAAGCCATTCAGGGAGGATAATTAAATGCTAACATTTTCAAAAAAAAAAAAAGAAAAAAAGTGGGGGGGAGGGAGTTCGGTGGTGGGGCGCACGCCTTTAACCCCAGCATTTGGGAGGCAGTGACAGGCAGATCTCTAAGTTTGAGGCCAGTCTGATCTACAGAGCAAGTACTAGAATCCTTGTGCAAAGTGCAAAAATTGTGTATACCTTGATTCCCTTTTGGGAGTGTATTTTACTTGCATATTGATAAAAATATATTCCCCAGCAGTCCACTGGTGGGTAACAATAAATCAGTCAAGCTGATATAAAGTCCAGGCTTTAATCTGAGCAAAGCATTCCAGGTGGTCCCAGGGAAAGAGGAGAAACACCAATTGTGTGGGAGAACCATGTAGCAAGTAGGGGGGGGGGGAACGGGGGAAAGGGGGAGGAGGAACTAGCCTGTAGGCAAGGTCTTGAGCATCTCAGGGGGAGGAGCCGCTGATGGTAGGCTTTTTCAGGGGCAGGGTCTGGAATGGGAGGTGGGGCTGGGTGGAGCTTCCCAACACATCTTAAATCAGGTATATATAAGATTAATCACTGCACCATTGGTTGCTCTTTTAGAAACTACTCATTATGTCATATAAGGACTAAATAAAATGTATCATCACTACTTTTAAAAATAACGATTAAAAAAAGGAGTGGACTTATATGACTAAATCGTCTAAAAACTGAAAACATCAAAGGCAGAACAAATTGTGTTATTGTGAAATGAAGAGAATACAAAGTCTTACATTTATTTTATTGTATTTTCGGAAAGTTTTGTAAGAATATGTGAATAACGAATGCAATCTCATGTAAAAGTGAGATGGCCATGTAACTTGTCATTCAAATAACAGTTTCCAAAGCAACAGCAATATCACTAAGAATTAGTTTAGGACAATAGATGAAAAAAAGAGCATTGTTCTGAACAAAGTGGGATATATGACCAATACTTTTAAAAGCTACAGAGTGTAACAGAGAAAAGGAACACACATACATAGTCAATCCGTAGGGATGTGTGTGCACATTAAATCTATACTGTATCTTATCTTAGACTTGGGTCTCTCGTGTTCCAAGCTGGCTTCCAACTTGCTAAATTTGGGAACATAGTCTTGAGATCCTGATCCTCCTGCCTCCACTTCTGAAATGCTGGTATTACAGCCTGACCTTTTTTTTTTTTTTTTTAGAAAGGGGAATATGCCAGAAGCAGTTCATCATCATCATCATCATCATCATCATCATCAAGAATGCAGTTGAGTTTCTCACAGGTGGGGAAATGCAGACATCAGCACAGTCTTATCCTGGGAGGATCACTTTCTTTTTTTTATTGATATTTATTGAGCTCTACATTTTTCCTGCTCCCCTCCCTGCCTCTCCCCTCCCTCCTTCAATCCTCCCCCAAGATCCCCATGCTCCCAATTTACTCAGATCTTGTCTTTTTCTACTTTCTTCTTCCCATGTAGATTAGATTTATGTCTCTCTTAGTGTCCGCATTGTTGTCTAAATTCTTTGGGATTGTAGTTTGTAGGCTGGCTTTCTTTATGCTTAAAATCACTTATGAGTGAATACTTGTGATAATTGTCTTTCTGTGTCTGGGTTACCTCACTCAAAATGTTTTCTAGCTCCATCCATTTTCCTGCAAAATTTAAGCTGTTGTTATTTTTTTTCTGCTGTGTAGGATTCCATTGTGTAAATGTACCACATTTTCCTTATCCATTCTTCAGTTGAGGGGCATTTAGGTTGTTTCCAGGTTCTGCCTATGACAAACAAAGCTGCTATGAACATAGTTGAGCACGTGTCCTTGTGGCACAATTGAGCATTCTTTAGATATGTATCCAAAAGTGGTATTGCTGGGTCTTGATGAAGGTTGTTTCCTAATTTTCTGAGAAATTGTCACACTGACATCTAAAGGGGTTGTACCAGCTTGCATCCCCACCAGCAATGCAGAAGTGTTCCCTTTTCCTCACAATTTCTCCAGCATAAGTTGTCATCAGTGTTTTTGATTTTGGCCATTCTTACAGGTGTAAGATGGAATCTCACGGTTGTTTTGATTTGCATTTCTTTGATAGTTAAGGATGTTGAGCATTTCCTTAAGTGTCTTTCAGCCATTTTAGATTCCTCGGTTGAGAATTCTCTGTATAGGTTTGTACTCCATTTTTTTTTATTGGATTATGTGATCTTTTGGTGACCAATTTCTTGAGTTCTTTGTACATTTTGGAGACCATACCTCTGTCTGATGTGGGGTTAGTGAAGATCTTTTCCCATTCTGTAGGCTGTCGTTTTGTCTTGTTGACCATGTCCTTTGCTTTATAGAAGCTTTTCAGTTTCAGGAGGTCCCATTTATTAATTGTTTCTCTCAGTGTCTGTGCTGCTGGGGTTATATTTAGGAAGTGGTTCCTTGTGCCAATGCGTTCAAGTATGCTTCCCACTTTTTGTCTTCTGTAAGGTTCAGTATGGCTGGCTTTATGTTGAGGTCTTTGATCATTTAGACTTGAGAGGATCACTTTCTTGATCATGGTGTAGTCTCTTCCAGGTAAATTCTCTCTCATTCTCTCTCTCTCTTTCCCTCCCTCTGTGTGTGTGTGTGCGCGCGTGTGTGTGTGTTGGAGGTGAGGGGTTGTGGGTTTTTTGTTTTTTTGCTTTTTTTCAGTGTTGGACTATAGCGAACTGGAAATAAAAACTAAAAACAGCCCATTCTTTACTATAGGTAGTTTCAGAGAGGTCTTGAAGACAGGGCGAACGAATCCTTATGCCCGGAACTTACGGAAAACGCTGTAGTTTTGACAATCCGGGCCCTTACTGAGGTTGCACCAGGTACACGCCTTCAAGTCCTCCAGCCAATCCCAGGTCGGAGCGTGAGATCCCGGTCTCTCGAGACGCCTAGGCGGGAGTTTCGTGTCACTCAACCCCGAGGGCGGAGCTAGTTCCGACTCCTAGACTTGGCGCTCTGGCCCGTAAAGGCTCGACTCTATGGCTCCTCGGGTTCCCTCTGCCGCACTCTGGAGGACCACACTCGTTTTCTTTTCGGCTGCGCGAGGTCCCGCCCGCAGCCGGGGCTGAGCTGGAAGAAAGATGGCGGCTGCCGTGCGCCAGGATCTGGCCCAGCTTATGAATTCGAGTGGCTCTCATAAAGATTTGGCGGGCAAGTGAGTATTTCCTAGGAGTCCAGAGGCGGGAGGGAAGCCACAAACTGACCTGCCTAGGGGTGACGGAGGCTCTCGGGCGTGGGGCCGAGGTGGTAGGCCCGAGGGCTCAGGGGGGCGGGCCTGCAGTCGGCCGTGGCGGTAAATGCTGGGAGCTGCAGACAGTGGAAGGGACGGGGTGCTGGGGTCCTGGCCGCCCAAGACCCGGCCTGACTGCCAGCTTATTACGTCCTTCATACCGTCCTCTACGGACTCCTCCGGCTTCTGGAAGCATGGCAGGAAAGATGACGGCTTCCTCGACGGTGGCCGCCTTCGTTAGTGTGTGCCTGGCGAGCCCAACACACCGGGTTTGACTTGGGTTTGCTGCCGCCTCCGCCCTCGCCTTGGTGGAGATAAATTTATATCCTGGACTCTGATGGCAGAGTTGGTTTTTGCTTTTGTCTTGTTTTGATTTGATCTTAAGACTTTCCAGGAGGATAGGAGCCGAGGACATATGGCTGCTGTCACGCCGTCCAGAACTTCTCAAGTTCATACCTTGTGTTTGTCCTTAGTGTTCCGGATACTCTCAGCTGTCACCAGCTCTGTAGAAGAGAACACAGACAGAATGTCCCCGGCCTAGGATGTCAAGAACAGTGATGTTTCCACAGGCCGCTCAGGGATTTTGTGGGAACCGTAGAATGCTTAGGTCCACTCGAAGTCACCATTTGAGACGTGTCGCTTCCCCAAGTAGTCGAACAGTTTCAGTCGTTCTATTTTTGTAGATTTCACAGCTTTGCTTTCTGCTGAGCCTTTTGTTTGTTTGTTTTTTTTCTGTGTGGCCCTAGCTGCCCAGGAACTCACTCTGTAGACCATGGTGGCTCCAAACTCAGAGATCCTCCTGCCTCTGCCTCCCGAGTCCTGGGATTAAGGGCCTGCTTCCTTGCACCCGGCCCTTTCTGCTGAAAGTATGTCTCTGATTGTTCTTAATATTTATACGTTGACAATTGAGAGCACGTTGATCTAATTAATGGTATACTCGTTCAGGCCCGCACCTTGAAACGGGGTGTGTGTGTCACACACATACATGCAGTGTGGTGGTTGCGCTGCCTTTTAAAACGCTGCTAAGTTTAGTTATACCCTGGGCTTTACTACTTTATGCTTCTTTTTTCTGCTTTAAAAAAATGGCAGTTTAATGCTGAGACTTAAGTCTTATCTGATTTCAAAATGAGTGTGTGTCTATGTCCTTATCACACTTAAATAGCCGAATTCAGTCTTGAAGTATACAAAACGTCATAGAATTGTTATTGGTAAGCAGTTGGTAAATGCACACGGTCTTATTCCAGGAGTTGGAAATAGTGGAGTATGCCTTCCTTGTTTGTTTTTTTCTGCATGTATTAATATTAGATTTAGATGAAAATAAAAGTAGTGTATGTATTCTCTCATATTTCCTTTGCATTTTCACTATATTTCAGAAAATGTAAGGCTATTAGTTATCAGATAAGGTATAGTTCTTTGAACTGGAAAGAATTCTGGAACTTCGGCTTACTATTTTCCTCTTTAGCTCTGAATTGGAGATGAAAAGTAGTATGTCTCCAATGGGTTGTTTCTTTTGTCTATTGCTGCTTAATAGATACATGGTTAGTGGTGTAAAAGTACTTTCCCCCTCAGGATTCTGGGTGTTGCTTGTCTGGTTCAGTTATGCAGATTAACTTGACTGACAGTTCAGTTAGGACTGGACTCATGTAGATATGTGGCTCTTGACCCGGTCATCTCATTCCATAGTTTAGCATTGGTTTTCTTCTGGGGCTTCCACTCAGAATGTTCTAATTGGCTGAGAATGGAAGCTGCAAGGCTTAGGGCTAGTCTGAGAAGTCTCCCATCAACTTTGTAATCCTGATGAAAGCAAGTAACAAAGCCAGCCCAGATTCAAGGGAAAGGAAATGGAATGTGCCACCAACTCGTTAGTAGCAGCGTGATCGTGTAAGGAATGGACAAGGGTGGTGTGCATCACTGGAAGCCGTTACTGCGGCGGTTTACCACGAGTTTATTTTTCAGAGGAAATGAAATAATTGGCTTGATAAGTGGTATCTCACACAGTACTAACTAGCCCCTCCCTCGGTTTTGCTTTCCTTCTTGTCTTAAGATTCAGTTTATTTTTATTTATGAGTATGTGAGTGTGAATGCCATCTGTGTGCAGGTGCCCATGGGTGCCGGAGAGGGAGTCATCCTCTGGAGCCACCTGACGTGGGTGCTGGGAATTAAATTCGGGTTCCCTGGAAGAACAGAAAGCGCTCTCTCCAGTCCTCAGCGCTGCTTCCTGAGAATACTCTTGGCCTTGCCCCAGGGTATTTACCCAGTACTACTGGGTAAGAATGTTAGGATGTTTGCCCTCATAACAAAACAGTTCTGCCAGCCACAGAACTTATGAAACACATGTCATCTGTTCATTTCAGATTTTTATATTGGGAACCGAGAAACAAAAGCTTCTACATTAAGGAATTATGAAATACAAGATTTCTGATACTGATATCCTCTGTTCTCATACAGTATGTTGTTCAAGAAATGTTGATTCAATCAGTAAATAGCCAGAAGGGGACATAACTTCTATGTGAACCCAGGTTTGTCTCAAAAGCTCACTTGTATTCATTCAGGCTATATTGCTTTTTTTGTTGAAAACTCAATTACAAGTGCTTTCTGACGATTGAATTAGCAGTTATCCAAATTTAGTATAAGAAACTGGCCATCTAAATAGCATTTTTTTTGTTGTTACAGATATAGGCTGCTTTTTCTTATCATAAAAATACTTTTTTATTACCTCTTAGAAAGCTTTAGAAGAGGGAACTGGAGCAATGGCTCAGCTGTTAAGAGCACTTACTGCTCTTGCAGAGGACCTGGGTTCAGTTCCAGGGGACTCTTTTCCGACTTCTTTTTGGTTTTTCCGAGGCAGGGTTTCTCTGTAGCTTTGGAGCCTGTCCTGGAACTAGCTCTTGTAGACCAGGCTGGCCTCGAACTCACAGAGATCTGCCTGCCTCTGCCTCCTGAGTGCTGGGATTAAAGGCGTGAACCACCACTGCCCAGCCCTTTTCCGACTTCTAAGGGCACCAGTCACGCATGTGGTGCCCAGACATATATGCAGTCAAAACACATGCATAAAAATAACTTAATTGCTTTTCAAGGAAAGTTTTAGAAGCCACAGGTAGTAGTGCAGTCCTTCGGTTCCAGTGCCTTGGGGTTGGAAGCAGGCTGATCTCTGCGAGTTCTAGGATAGTCAAACCCTATCTCAAAAAATCCAAAAGTCAAAAATAGAGGAGAGAGGACTGGAGAGGGAGTGTATGAAGGTAATTGTTGTGATGACCTGTCTTAACTCAGTTGGCTAACCTACTTGGTCTTCAACCAATGTGACTTCCAATACTCACCCATCCCCACGCCAGACCTGGTTTAGTTGGTCTGCTAGTGCCCAACAATAACTTACTTTTATTTGAACATAGATTGTTTATCTGTTCATTTGTTCCATACCCTGACCAGAATATAGTTCTTTTTAAAGCGTTTTTTGAGGTCAGATATCAGGACATGGGTTATTCAACAGGGTCTTGGTTGAATCAATCCTATGAAAATATGACCTTTACAACTTCCTATTTCCAGTTCTAGAGTGCATGAGGTATCCAGAGGAGGCTGGGAGCTATTTGCAGATTAAACGTTTTTGTTTGTTCTTCTTTTTTTTTTTTTTTTTTAAAGAGCTTATTATGTATACAGTTCAGTGTTCTGCCTCCATGTATGACTGCATGCCAGAAGAGGGCACCAGATCTCATTGTAGATGGCTGTGAGCCACCATGTGATTGCTGGGAATTGAACTCAGGACCTCTGGAAGAGCAGTCAGCGTCCTTAACCTCTTAGCCATCTCTCCAGTCCTGTTTGTTCGTTCTTTTGAGACAGGGTTTCTTTTAGCTCAGGCTGGCCTCCAACTCCTTCCTGATTCTTCTGCCTAAGGCTTCCCAAAGCTGTGTTTATAAATGTGCCCTGCCAGGACCAGCTAACATTTATAAGAGGTTGTTAGTAACAGAAGACCTCTTAGTTGCCTTTGTTTACTGAGAAGACTTTGAGAAGAGAAAACTAAGATTGTAATCTGCTCTAGCGAGGTAGACTCTGTGTTAGAGTGGAAAGACAGAGCATGTGCACGGGTGTCTGCAGGGACAGAGGGACAGTAACCTCAAAGGCCTCTTCTAACTCAAGGTTTCTGGTTCTCTGCTACTCCTCCAGGACAGTTTTAGTGATTCCTATGTCCAGAATAAATGCTGTTTGTGTGCAAACATTATGTAGCAAATAGATAATGTTATTAGCATTATATATGGAGAAAAATATACTTTTTATTTTTTTCAAAGTAAACAGCTTAATTTAGGAAAAATGGGAAAGAACTTCTGAGAATGGGAGGACTCCAAGGGGAGGAATACTCACACAAAAAGAAACTTTGAAGTCACATGTAGTCAAACCAGTATTTAGTCCATGTTTATGAACTCCTAACTCAAAATATAGTCAGTCGCCTAGTGACTTAAAACAGTAGTCATTTGCATGTATCTGCAGTGAGCTGCAGGCCAGGTGCATTGTTCTGCAGTGAGCTGCA